TGATCCTTTAGCAGATTTGGTGATTTCATTTTAATGGTTAACCTAAAAGCAGAATTTTGAACCAAAAAATTAATTATTAATTATTATAGAAGGAAGCTTGAGCTGTTACATATTTACATTCATTAGATCATGCCCAAAAAAAAAAAAACAAAGCATGTGTGAGAGAGCAGGATTTTGGAATGTAATGACAGACTATAACTGTCGTTATTCCTTGGTTAATATTTGGATCCTCCATGTTCTCAACTCATGTGAAAAATAAAAACCATTAACATGTTTGGAGAAATTGGGTTTCTTCCATTTTTGTTCCGTCATCCCCTTTCATTTTCCATTGGTAATTGGAATCGCCAATTAATTAGAGCATGCCTATCTTCAATTGGAGTTAACTCCAGTACTTTATTGCATTCTCATGGAGTTTTTTTTTTTTTTTTTTTGGTTTTTTGGTACAATAATCGGGCAATAACTATGAAATTTTGTTTGATTCAAACTTCAGTTAATTACTCAAGTTTTTTACTTTATACATTCAACATCATGAATAAGGAAGGCATACAGCGATCCAGGAACAAAAACCAAACAACAAGAAAAAAAAAGTCTGCAGTCAGTGCATTGTCCTAGAGAGCAATATGTACGGACTATAGATCTACATGAGAACTGAAATTTCCATGTATTTGCAACACAATCAATTAATATAGATGTTTGGAAGTGGTTTTTAACAGGGCTTAAATTCATGTGCAGCTGTTCTACTCAATATAATAAGAATGTGCTACTTGCATCTACATGATCTTCAATTCTTCTGAGAGTTATACCTGGAGAGGAAGCAAACGAATTTGGCGTCAGAATCAGAAACTAAATTTTGAAGATATGGTAGCAAATATAAACTTACATTACCTTCTAGGACTGGGAGTGTTTCTAGGTCTATAGGGTATAGACTATAGATTCTGGAGGCAAAAGTCAGAAAAAAAAACATGGTTTCCCACATGGATGGAGAAAAATATTAGCAGAATAAAACAAAATTGAAGGACAGAATGTGTTTGAAATTAATTCATTGAAATTGTAGTGCAAAAGAATTGCCGGGCAAATCTCCGTTGGCAGAGAGCACACTACATTAATGCATGAGTTTGCATGCAAGTTTGAGTGGCTGCCCGCCACTGGAGATTTTGCCCTGTAATATTACAGTTGCTGCTGAAGTCATCGCCTTATGTTTGCTACAGTGCCTTAATTCGCCCTTATTTATCCCCCCCTGGAAAGGAGCATATCCAATGGAACAATGCCTTGCTGTTTTGACTTTGCTAGCTACATGGATGTTGCTTTTTTTGGGTGAATCACAGCCACTTGATTGCTCATATGTTGAAATTCCACATATTTGCAGAATTTCAGTGAAAATATATGGAGGAAAAATAATTAACAAATGACCAGGATTTGGCATCATGTGATGAGCGTAATTCATCAGGACCAAAACATATTAAACTAGCAGTACTACTAGTAACCATTGAACCGGCTTAATTTGGAAAATTGATTAGGGCATCAAATTAGAGTTCCATTTTGATAAAAGAATCATAAACAAATCTTATTCAATTTAACCAAACTCCTTAATCTGATCTAGTTTAGAAATGGATATATTTTCACAAAAGATAGGAAAAGGAAAGAGAAAAAAAATAGAAAACGTTGGAGAAAATAAGTTGTAATGGATGTTTTTGGTATGGAATATCCATGGAATGTTCTCTATATTCTACTTGTGGTGTCCCTTTGGTAAGGCTGTAGTCAACCGACCAAAGAGACCCAAAAGTTGATTTATGCAGAAACTCGAGGCTGCATATTCCAAAGGGCTTAATTCTTTTTGTCCTCCATCCATAAGATAGTTGTTAACTTGGGATTTTAAAACTCGAAAATCAAAACAACTACAGTTTTAAGACTAAGATTTTGTTTATGCACTGTCAACTAGAAGAGGCTTTTTACAAGAACTTTGAGGAAAAAAAAAAAGTGACAAATTCCTCTATTGGTTCTTAATTATCTGATAATTACATAATCTCTCCAGAAAATGTTGTATCAATAATGGAGAAAGCAAGTGATTTTGTGCTTGTATTACTTTGAAATATAACCAGAAGTCAGCCCATCAACAAAAATAAATAACAAAAGTAATTTTTTCACTAGTCTTTGCCATGGAATTGAAGCAGTGAAATTCTACTTGTACCCACTTAAGAAAGCCCAAAAAGGTCATCTAAGTCCTGATATTATACTGTCAGACTCGATGAGGTTAATGGTACTTTGGGCCACAAGTCAAGCCCAAAATACGATCCAAGTCCTTGATGTAATGATAATTGATATGGATGGGTTTGTGGGCCACAACCGGCGTTGTTTATTTTCCAGTTCAATCTAATCCTATCAAGGACAACTTGGACTTTCTTTTGCTGTTTCTAATTTGTATCTTGTCCTGTGATTACAGGAATACTGTAGACACTGCTACAATGCCAGGCTATAGAGTACTTCAGCTTTCTGATATTTTAAACAGTTGAGATTCGTCATTTCCTAACAATGCTTGTACATTCCAAAAATCTATGACAAACTTGAAGCAAAAAGAGGCTTCATCTTAAATCTCTACATATGTACTTGCAAGACTCGTTATAACACATTGGATATCAAAAGAATCCTAGCTGCAAATGCCTGTCTTCAGGAATTATTCTTCAAATCCTGCTAGAATGAACACCCAAATAAGACATATTCAAGGATTTTAGCCCCTTGTTTTGGTTAAACAATTGTTTATTCCCAACGTAAAACTTTAGTATAGTGCTTGCAAGCTTGATAGTTAGCTCATGTGACTCCTGATTCCATGGACGAGAAGATAAAAAGGGAAAACAGTTTCAACTTCTGGACAAAATTTTGGTAGAAAGTAGAGCCTCCTTTCAGAACCTGAGAGGGAGATGTCAAGCAGAAATGGACAAAGAAAACAGATGGAAAAGATGGGTTTAAAACATCGAAATATTGGAACCCCTAAATGGGGGTTTCAAAAGAGAAGGGGTGTGCCACTAGAGCATGCACTAACAAACAAAAGCTAATAAGAGTGATTTAAGGAGGGATGTATTGCAGAGTTGTTGAGTTACTAAAATCCAAAGGGGCATCCCTCTTTGCTTTCATGTGTCTATGGCTGCTTCCGAACGCATGCTTGTGAAGGAATGATAAAAAATTGAGAAATGAACAAGGTCTTGTCATTGATAATAGGCAAAGTACTGTGTTATATTATATATTTGGCGTTTTCTTGGTACAGGGAATGAACACTACCGTTCGCTGTTTATGTCCAACGATTTTGCTTTTATAATTCTATTTCTATGACATAAATTCTTTGCCCTCTTTACTTGGATTGAGAATAATAGGGCATGAGGCTCCAACTGGGATTAAAGAACCATTAAGAAGCAAAATCTTTTATTTTTCATAATTAACCCGATATGATTCGTTAAAAGAATAGAAAATTGATTGATGGATGCTTTTGTTATTAGAGGGGAGGAAAATCTTTGTCCCTGATTAATGGATGCCTTTAGTTTTTTTTTTTTTTTTATTGTTATCATTGCGGTTTTCTTATTAAACTCGGAAAGGGAACAAAAGAATTTGCGGACATCTCGGTTATCGATAACCAGAATTTGGTGTCACGGTAGAATCATACCATACACTGTAAGAATCAAACTTTTACTTTGCACCCTTCTTTAGTAATTTATCAAAGATTTCTCGGTGTATCTCCTTCATAAGTTTGAAAATGAAACGAATAGAGACATAAAATGAGAGAGAAAGGGGATGGTAACAGAAGGGGAAAAAAAAGAACTGAAATGATCGAGCTTTTCAATCTGAAAAGCATTATAGGTGAAATATTTTTCACCTTGGTTGGTGCAAGTACTTGAAAGACCCAGAATAGCTAGACAGCTGGCTTTAAAGAGGAGGATATGATGAACCCCAGGGGAAGAAAGAACGATAAAGAATAAAAGGGAAGTGAGTGTGTCAGAGCATGTGACCTACAAAGCCATAACTAGGCTAGCAGGCAACGGCAAAAGGGCCTTGCTTGCGGGGGACAAACAAAGAGAAACCAATAAGAATGGCCCGTGAAGACAGTGAAATATGCCTCAACCAGCACGGCATAGATATGTACAAAAATTGACTTTGACTCCGTGCCCTATGGTTCTATTGATTGCCTGATTCTGATTCTGACTGTGACCATCTTAGCTCCTTAGTCATCTGACTCAATTCCACATCCCTTCCCATGCAAATTTTGCTAACTGAAATTGAGAATATGACAACCAAATACTCCATTTTATCTATCATTTCAATTGAGCCTTATCATTTTGGCATTTCTTGTGGCCCTATTTCTTACATTATCAATAAAGTAGTACTAGTATTATTTTGTCCCGAAGTTTCATGTCTTGGTACTTGCTCGTCCATACTTTATTGTTGTTTAATAAAATCAAAGTGGAGAAAGATTTAAAATTGAACACCCTTAATTGTTACCGTTAATCAATGAAATTTTTGTCTCTTATCATTTTCCAATGTTGCCATAACTACTTCCAACCATTTTAGAATGTCACATGATCATATGCCTACTTATTTACAAAGAATAAGTACAGAATTCCACAGCAATTCCCTTTAATATTCCGAAAACAATGCCAAATCAACTAAAGTTATGAGACACAAAAAACTTTTGGGAAGAACATCATTTTACCCGTGCCAATAATTGCCTTTCTTTTGCAAAGTATTCATCTTTTTCTTTCCCCTATCCTAAAGTATTTTCTGCTTAATTCCATTTTCATATAAGACAAGCACAAGATAACTAGGAATTTATGGATCCCAAGATGGCCAGACATACCCTCTCTCTCTCTCTCTCTCTCAAGTACTCGGCCCTTTTCACATCCTATAAAAGCTATGGCCTCTAAATTCAAAACTTACTACTTCTACTACAACACATTTTATATAAAAAGGTAACTAGACAGAAAGGGGAGATCACCAGACAGAGAAAGAAAGAAGGGATGGCAAATAAGCTGCAAAGAAGAACAACATCTCGCAGAAAGATTCACCTTCTGCGAACTCTCACCAATTCCAAATCTGTAACCTTTTTTGTTGTTTTTAATTTGTCACAAAAACTCAATGGATATTCAAAAAAAAAAAAAAAAACTTATCAGGTTCATGATGTTTATCTCACTTTTTTTTTTTGGAAGGTTAAAAGGAGTTCCACCATCTTAAATGTTCTTCTCCATTTTTACAAGCTCAAAATCAAGTTGGAAGAAATACAGAGAGAGTACCAAAACCTTATGGCTATCAGAAACGAATACCTCACTCTATTGAAGCATATACAAATACCAAAGGTGATCAAGTTTTCTCTCTTTCTTTATATTCTCATGGTGGCAATGTATATATATAATTTAAGCTCTTTTTTTTTTTTTCAAATTTATAAATGCATGGAGTCTTAGCAGGAAGTGAAGGTCGAAAAGATAGCAGAAGAGTATGTGGTTAAAGTGACTTGCAGCAAAGGAGGGAGCAAGTTGGTGTCAATTCTAGAGGCGTTTGATGAACTGGGACTGAATGTTGTTCAAGCTAGAGTCTCTTGCAACCATATCTTTGCCATGGAAGCCATTGCTGTAGCTCAAGACCAGCAAAGTACTGATATCAAAGATATTACTCAAGCTGTTCTTAACGCCGTTGAAAAGCAAGGAGGAGATCAGGAGATGCTTGTAACATAGAAGTTCCTTATTAATTAATTAATAGAAGGTTGTGTAATCAATGTTCTGTCTTATAACCTATACGATTATCGGATTTGATTGTTAATTTGAAAATTTAAAATGGGCTTTTTAATTTAATAACTTTTTTCCTCCTAAACTGAAAAGGCAAGAAAGAATTACCAAAAAGTTTTCCGTTGCCGGGAATCGAACCCGGGTCTCCTGGGTGAAAGCCAGATATCCTAACCGCTGGACGACAACGGATTGTTGTTCCTCTAGCCGGCTTTAATATAATAATTTTCTTTTAATTTTGAAAACTTTTGCAAAATGAAAAAATTTGGTATTTTTGTTTCCCATGTTGGAGAAAGAAAGATATGAAAAAGGAGTATTAAAGCTTTTTAATTCAACCTGTACCTAGCTAGATTACAAATCAGGGTAACGATTGCTAATTAGTAAATGTGAAATTTAATGGGCTGAATGTCAGTTTACAATGATCTTCGGACAACTTCAATATAGAATATGGGCCCATTATTTAGAATCCGCCCTGAGCCCAGGAGAAAAATGCTTCTTTCTGGCAAACAATGTGGTCCGGAATTTAGATTTAAAAGAGAGAGAAATATTGTCATACATTCTGGTAATAAAAATCTTCCATAAAACACAACATGGTCAGTCCAAAAGTTAAAATCATGTTGCCTCAGTGTGTATATTCCGCATCTGTACTATGTTGATAATGATAGTTCATTAATTGAGTAGGTTATAATTGGCTTGCAGTAGAATTCTATTTCTTTGGATAAATAAAATTTTTAGCTTATCCAAATATATAGACATTCTCGGCGTCTGTAGACTGTAAGTTTAGGTGGCGTTCAATCGTTTCTTATGGCAAAATAATTTCAATCCCGTATTGTAATGAAAACCCTGACCCTTCCGAGAAAATCATCAAATGAATCCCCAAATTAAATTAGAAAAACAATTTGGATGTGACATGACAAAATATCAAACAAACCAAGCTGATGACAGCTGAAAAACCCTATCCATAGACAATTGAACTTTCCAATTCCATGGAATTAACCATTGTAAATGTCCAATAATTTTTTTTAAATTTTTTAAAGAAGTCTAAAAATTTATAAAAAGTAAAAAGTCTACATTAGATGTTGTAAGCATATTGACGGTCGATTGATTATTATATTGATTGATGTGACCCGCTAGATGATGAAATTGTATGGTTTTCAATTTTCATTACTTCACTATGTGACATGAGAACATATATACAATAGTAAGGGTTTCGTGCATCTCTTAAATGGTTATGGGGTCCCCATTGTGAAGCTATCGACAACTGATTGGCTGAAGTTTGCACTTACAATTTCTCCTACAGGTAAAACAACAAAGCTAAAAATGGTTCCCAGGCAAAGTAGATAGTGAGTTTCAGTGAACTAAAAGGCTCCTGCCTCACTTACGAATTTAGATATGCCTCAACATTAAAGGTAAAAAACTAAAAGTTGGTCCTTGGATCAGTAGCACTAAATGATCATGAATTACCAACAGGAGTTCGTTCGACCTTTTAGAGTCGATTATATCCCACATTACATGGAAAAGCATGTGAATTACATTACTTCCATTGGGTGTTGAAATCCAAAGATTTTATCAAATACAAGCAAACCAGATATGGGTTGTTTTTACCATAACCTTTAGTACAATAAAATATATCACAACATTTGCATATGTCAAACGAGTTCTCATAAAAAAAAAAAAAAATCATGGAGCATGTCGTGCCCGAAAAGTTATAGATCCTAGTTAGGAGGGAGTTCCAAAGAGATTAATGTGAAGTGGGAAGGCATGAGGAAGTTTCTGTTCCTTAAATTAAATATATGTATATTTTTTTCATATATATTTTCCCCAGTTGTTGCTAAAAAATATATATATATTGTTTTTAATTTATGGGAGATGCCGTAGGTGTGGGAAGTCAGAGATGGGAACAGTGAATATAAAAATGCGGCTCATTCGATGCTTATAAAAGAATAAATAAATAACTTATTAATTAGAGGAAGAAAAAAAAAATCACAGTCTTATTGCTTCACGCATCAATAAAGTCTAGAAGGATTAAGTTTTTGATATTTTTGATGTGACAAAACACCAATTGGCGCTTTCCAATCCTTTTACTATCGGACTGAGACATAGTCCAATAACTGAAATAGTCAACAATGTAGGATTGCAACTTTTAAGTTCCAAAGGCCAATGCTCATCTCTCAATTAACATAAATATATATATATATTTATATGTCAGAATTGAACACTAAAAATCCAAATCAAATACATCTTTTTGAAGTAAAATTAACTATTACAATGTAACAATTATCCAGCCCTATTTAGTCATGATTAATTTCATATTATATAGCTTTTCCTGGTCATGTTTGAATTGTGAAAAGCATTAAAAGATATGGGTTTGGATATATATATTTTCAAATCTTGACAAAAAATTTCAGTAAAGATGGATGAAGGAGACTGACTGATTCAAAATTATAAAGAATATAGTAATCCCCAATGCATAATTTCTAAACTTTATTAGTTGTGGGAGCTGGGGAATCTCAATTATATTAGTAGCATTATTTTATTTATAATTAAGGACTTTAATTATATCGCCAATATGTCATAATAATTAAGGAGAAAAAAATAAAAGAAATGGAAAGTGAAGACGAGGGAGAGTTGGTTAGGACGAGTGCGCCAATGAATGAATAGGATTAAGACAAGGCCAAAGTTGATGAAGTCACCATCATTGAATAGTGTTATATAATTAATTAAGCAAAAGGATAACTTTTCTCTTCAATTGTTACGAAAGGACCATGTGAACTAAATCAAAGTGACTCCTTTTTCATTGTTTTCTTTTTCTTGTATGAGGGTTTGATTTAGAAAAGATAACTGGCCACTTTAGGAGCCCCAAATTACAACACATTCTTGTTTCTTATAGGCCTAGCACTATTAATGGATGTTAAACAACTTATATTAAATTATATACCAATTTTAGTTTACTTTTTTTCTAAGTTTTGATTAGGAACAAAAAAGAAACAATCTCAAAAGTTCAAATTTTATCCTTATTAATTACCCATAGTCCATACTTTTTTAAACTTTTTATGTGATGGGAATACAAATTAAAATAATTAGACAATTATACCTTTGCATTCTAAATGTAGGGGAAAATATGAATAACTGTAGCCGCAACCCTTATTTTTGTAGTTCATAATTTATTCTAATTAAAGTACTAAAATTTGCCTAAAACCTTGATTGGCAACCACAAAATGCTTGGCCATTTTAGATATAAAGGGTTTGGCATTTGGACGAGAGTTTCAAAAGTAACCAACCCCCATCCAAAAAAATAATATAAAAACAAAAAGACAACGAGAACAGTCGGGAAACGAGGAGGGTAGGCATAACTCTAATCAGTGTGCTTTGATTAATATATATAAATAAACTAATAATAATTGAACAAATATTATAAAGATATGATATAAAAATGAAAATAATAAAAAGGGTGGTGGTCATTTTCAAGTTGCATTTTTTAATAAAGTTCAGGATTTATATCACATTTGCTTGCACGTCCTTGATAAACAAATACCAAAACCCAATCTGTCAACATGCCGCCCCTCTCTCCCCCCATTTTTAAAAGGACCAACCTCTCTGTTTCTTGTTCTTCTTCTTCGACCTAACCCCTTCTCTCTCTCTCTCTCTCTCTCTCTCTCTCTCTCTCTGCTTTTCTCCTTCTGTAGGATTAATCAACGGTCACCATAAACTCTTCTGATCATCAAGCTCTAATTATGGACGGTGGTAGTAATTTCAACAAAGCCAGTAACCCTTTTGTTACTGAACAACAATTAGAAGAAAACGACAACGTTTCGTCAGAAACAGGAGCTGAATCTCCTCGTTCTACCACTTTCAACGACATGAAGCTTGCTTCTCATAAAAAAGGGTAATTTTTCTTTTTTTTTTTTGGAAGTACCCACAATTCTGTTAAGTTCGTTGCTTTTTTTTTTTGTTATTTTTATATTTTTGACGTAATGGGGTTTTGTTACAGTAGGAAATCTATACAGAAAAGAGTGGTGTCAGTGCCAATCAAGGACGTAGAAGGTTCCCGCCTTAAAGGCGAGAGTGCTCCACCGTCTGATTCTTGGGCATGGCGAAAGTACGGCCAAAAACCCATCAAAGGCTCTCCTTACCCCAGGTAATTGAAGTACTACTAACTAGCAGTAAAATATAACCAATGTTTCTCTGCATCGAGGCGCAAATTTCAAAGTTTAGGATTTCTATAATCAACCGTTTTTAAGGTTTCTGTTTTGATCATACGGCCGGCAGAGGTTATTACCGGTGTAGTAGCTCAAAGGGATGTCCAGCAAGAAAGCAAGTTGAGAGGAGCCGTGTGGACCCTACAATGTTGGTGATCACATACTCCTGCGAACACAATCACCCTTGGCCCGCTTCTAGAAACAACACAACCGCAGCTAAACAAGCTGCGGCGGCGGCAGCGGCTGCAGTAGTAACGGAGACACCAATCACAACAGCTGTAAAGCCCGAGCCATCTACGTCGCAGCCCGGCACAGAACCCGAATCGGGGACCGAAGAGAGGTTCGCTGATCTGACGGACGACTCGATTCTTATAACGGGGGACGAATTTGCTTGGTTCGGGGAGATGGAAACAACGTCGTCGACAGTTTTGGAGAGTCCGATATTTGCAGAAAGGGACAACAGTGGGGGTGACGTGGCGATGATTTTCCCGATGAGGGAAGAGGACGAGTTGTTATTCGCTGACCTGGGCGAGTTGCCCGAGTGCTCGTTTGTGTTTAGGCATCAAGGGAATGTGGGACCACAGGTGGGGATCTGCTGACACGTGGTTAATTAGGAATTTGCATGTGGCGGAGGAGTCTTTGGTTTCAACGTTGTGCGGTGCGTGCCGTGTGGCGCAAGATACCAAATTTCAAAACGATGACAACAAAAGAAAAAGAAAAAAAGAAAAGAAAAGAAAAACGAAATTTTTATTTTTTTTAAAGAATCTCTTACGTTGCATTACCCCTTTCAAGTACATTTCGAATTTCCTATTATTTTTTTGTTCATTTTACAGTTTTAATTTGCCTTGATTTCGGTGTAGTAAATGAATAAAAAATTCCGAATTCCAAACTCTGTCGTTATCTCGTCGTAGCTACCAACATTTGCCGTCTGCTTATGGGACTTTGATTGAATAGAAATAATTTTAACCAGACTTACAGCTGCATTTCTTGATTCTCAAATTGGATCTCTGGCTTCGATGAAAATGATGGTACTTGCCCTTTTTAGACTTTATGTTATTTCCAAATTTTCTTCATCTCATCTTTCTATTCATGCCTTGTCAAATAAGTAAAAAAAACTTATAACTCTGTGCTATCAATCAAATCATATTACCATAACATTGTCACCGATTACCATGAAATGAACAAATTCTAAGTGGCATTCTACTAAATTATGTTAAAATTTAATCTCAATCGTTTACAGGTGTTAACATGATTTTTTTTCACAAATTGCTGAGTTTTAGAAGTTTGGATTATACTATCAACATTTGCCGTTTGCTTATGGGACTTGATTGAATAGAAACAAATCTTTAGTCTCATGGTTAAAGATATTTGAATAGATATCAAAAGATTGATTTTGAACCAATTTTTTTTATTTGTATTAAAATTTTATTTTCATGATGTAACAAAAAAACCAAGTTTAGATTATTCCAACAGATAAATGATGTAGGAACAAGAGCTGCAAATTGCTTCTAAATCTTGCCTACCAAGGACAAGTTGGATGATCATGACTTTCACAAAAAAAGGAAAAAAAAATGAAGATCAGAGGATTCTGATACTTTTGATTGGATGAAAGTTCAAATAATCGGCCGTCCATACTATAAAGTCAAATCAACTGAAAAACTCTTAACTTTTAGGTGATGGGAATGGCCGGAAAATTTCCACAGAAAAAAACAAAACCAATTTTATAATTCATTCAAACATTAATTGTTTCTGTTTGCATACATAAGGTAGTTTCACATTATTTTAGATAAGCTAATCTTTGCTTGCATGTTAAGCTTTTCCCCCAGCTAATATAATAGTATAAGAGAATGTATCACAATGAAGATTAAAATTGATATAATGATACATATTTTTAAGATATAAAAAAATAATTAAAAAATAAAATTTATAAAATAAAAAAATTACTATCAATGTATGGAAAATACATTTATATTATAATTTCTCTTATAAATATAAAAGAAGTAATAATATAAAGAGTAGTTGGGGCATTGGTTAAAAATCACGATTAAGTCAAATTTCAAATAAAATTTTAAAATCTGTAAGCAGTGGCTATTAATGTTAAATATTTTAGTAGACATCTTGCACATTCATAGAAGAGGTCAGTGTAACGTCACGATGATCAATGACATTTAAAGAAAAAAAAAATTATCCTTATCCGTAATTGCATAAGGATGACTAAACTACGACGAATGCCAGCTTAGATATCAGGATTAGCTGTTGATGTAGGATATGTATAACAATTCTCAACGATTGCATATGGGTTTTTTAAGTTTATATCTAATGCATCATATTTTGTTCATTTTACATGTTATTAGTGAAAAAAATAATATTATTTTATTAATAAATAAAAATTAATTTTAAAATAAAATATAAAAAAATTTATTCATTAATAAAATAATATCATTTTATTTACTTCATCAATAAAATCAAATTATTCGATACATTAATAATATATAAATTTTATACATTAAATATAATTTTCTTAAAAAAAAAAAAACCTTTGGCCCGACTCCATCCACAAATATGGCATGAAAATCATCTATCACTAATTCATATAAAAAACCACTTCATGAAAAAGTATGGTTAAGGTTGATGAGGTGAAGTACATAAAAAAAAAAATAAAACCATGCTAAATCTCATGATTTAGTACGATTAGATATGTTCAAAGATAAAACTAATCCATTGATTTGAGATACTATTCAAATTTAATTTTAATATAATATTGTAAATATTAAAATATTAATATTTTTTAATATTTTAAAGTTTTTTTTTTCTTTTAATTTTTTAGATTTTACAAGTTAAGAGTTTTAATTTGGAATAAAAATTTTAAAACATTAACCTAATCTGACTTGGTTAATGACAGGTAAATCACGATAAAATCATGCAAACTAAAAAATCTAATCTTAAAAGGATAATAAATAATAACATGAAAATTTTTTTTTTTTTTGGATATAATGATAATAACCAAAGATCTTTTATCAAAAACTGTGAAATGTGATTTATAATAAAAGTGATGAATTAAATACTTAATTTTTGGTCAATTTTAATTTTAATGATGAAAGTAAAATTCAATTTTTATTCCGAAAATGTTAACATACCTTGGCATCGTTCATTCATTTTTTATCTGCCTGAGAATGGAAGAGACTGCACGTTTCCAAACAGAGGAGTTGGGAACAACTGGTTCTCAAGTAGACAGATTTTTTAAGCACCTATTTAAATGCAATAGTATAATACCCTGTTCCTCGTTCGCCTCTTCTTGTCTACTAAAAATAACAGCCATCAGGAAAAATTTTGAATGTAAATTAAATCAATCTTCGCCCGTCTCCTACTATAGGTTCCTTTGTGAGAAAAATTTTACAAAACCAAGGTTTACAGAGAAATCCATGAAGCTGAACAAACCCCGGCAGTATCCCTTAAAACAATCAGACTAGAGATTAAATATCATCCTAGCTTGAGCAGCATCCCCCTTTCTTCATAGCAGACACATCCTTACTGACATCAATTTTCTCTCCCTTGGGAGGAACAGCAGAAGCACCCCCCTCTTCACCTGTCTCCATGGCCTTCTTGCTCACAATATGGTAGATCTGAGTAAGAACTTCAGCAAATGCGTTATCCACATTCGTGGCTTCCAGAGCAGAAGTTTCCATGAAGTAGAGGGACTCTTTCTCAGCAAAGGATTTCCCATCCTCGGTTGAGACAGCCACAAGGTGACGAAGATCAGATTTGTTACCAATGAGCATGACTACAATGTTGGGATCCGTGTGATCCCTTAACTCTCTTAACCACCTCTCAACATTTTCAAATGTTGAGTGTCGTGTCACATCATACACAAGAAGTGCACCGACAGCTCCTCGGTAATAGGCACTTGTTATGGCCCGATACCTATCAGTGTAAAAGGAGATGTTGAGAAAACAATATACAAGAAGCAGAAGGGGATAGAACAGATGATTTCTACAAGTAAGAATGTCATAGATCTGGAATTAAAACAAATTTATCTGTAACTTTCATCAAAAGAACTGTATGTTTTACATACAAAGAGATAGTAAAATCATAATCTATCCAGCCATTTAACAAACTCATCAACCCTAATTACATTCTATACTCATTGTCCCTAAAACGTAAAGGGATTGAAATCAAGGGTTCAATCATGCATCTGTTTCCTATGATACTAAAATTGCAGTAGTCCAGCTATTAATCCATGATGTATAAGCAATTCCATCAATCTTCATCTGAATCCAAACTATGTAGAGATTGTACATCTCAACGAAAAAATTTGCTAAATGGGATGTTTTCATTTTTCTTCTGGGCCTATACTGACCTCTTCTTTCCCCTTTCTTTCTGCCAGTCTAAAGAAGAGGATAAAGCCTTACATTTTGTTTTTAAAATCAACAAATTACCTTAGAAAACATATGACAAATTAGTAGCCTTACGCCTGCTAGAACCGGGAAATCAAACCACACCCAGGACATGATACCAGCAGGCTGTAACGCAACAGAAACATTAGAGATATGACACACATCCTATACAGAACGGAAGCAATTTAGAATGGAGCAATAGCATCAATACATAATTGCAATGGCTTTGGCTTAGTAAGCATCTCAGCCATAGAAGTAACATACTATTCCTCCAAGTTAACAGCAATTGAGTCACTGGCATAGCTTCTGATAGTCTAGTGAGTGAAGTTTTAGTTTATTGTTTTCTTTCTCTTTTTGATCTCTAAGCCCTCACAATTTCAGTTAGAAATAGTAGTTCACACATGCTAATCATAAAATTATTTGTCATCACTTTTCTAATGAGAACTTCAATTCAATGCCTCATTAAACAATCTTGGATCAAGATCGGACAATAAAGTAGAAATTGTATACGGGGATGAAAACCCTACTGTTTCAAATCATACGTTTTGAAAACTTAGGTATATTTGGCCTACAATATATACGAGCAAGCCTCAAAAGAATCACGTCATTTGTAAACCAAGAATCTGTGGTCTTGGAGGTGGAGCTTGCAGTGGCAACAGTTGAACATCTCAGCCATTCTGGGGCAGTTGAAAATTTTGGATATATGACAGTATAGAAGTTGGTAGAGGGAAGTCTGGCTGGGGAGACAATGGTGGCAGGCAGCATTTGCAATAATGATTTGTCACATTGGCAGCAATAGGTGACGATCAAACTTGGTAGTTGGTGATGAGGTGGCACCTAAGATGGTAGAGATTATACAGCAGGACAAAGTACAGTGCTGTGATGGCAGGTTGGCAGCTGCAGTACTCATGCAGTTATGCTAGTGCAACTGTTCTTTGCAATGCAATATAGCAATGGTAGCTTTAAGGGGCTTAGCAGAAGTGCTTTTAACCACTTATTGAATCAGAAAGTTAAACGGATATTACCTACAATGGGGAGCTCGCTCTAGCCTGTAGGATCCAAGGGACTTATCATATTGAAAATTTTTCATTTTCATAAGCTAAAATAACCAAAACTCTTGTCAAGTCTATATAGGTCAACAAAGTGCCTCATCCAAATTATAATATTTAGGCATTCAAAAACAAACTCTACCACAACATTACTCTAATAAAACAAGCAAGAATTCCCTTTAATTCCAGTAGTAAATAATACCATGTCACTCTACAAGTATGCCACAGCAAACTACTTCCCTGTAACATCCTGAACAGTCATACCACACAATGACTAAGAGGTCTATCTAGCAAACTAACATCATTTACTTGTTCAAGCCCTTTCTTCCATTATCAATTGACCACACTGTAGCTACAAGGTTCCTGTAACAACCTGAATTATCAAACCAGATTGATGCTAAACACTAGACCAGCAAATTCCATACATAAATAGAGACACAAATACAGGTAAGCAATCATAATCTCTTTGTGATTACATGACAAAATTAGCAGGCATGCGGTAACAAAGATAAAAAGATAACGGTTTTGACAGGCATTATAATGCTTGTTCCGCTCGTTAGTTTCTCGTAACCCAACTTGTTACAGAACTCAGACTGAGTAAACTAAATTATCATACTGCAATTTAGCTCGAGCATGAAGTCGAAACCATATCTTATATCTAGCAGGAAGCAAACATACTAATGCAAAGCATGAGCACTTCGTTTCTTACTCATTGTGAAGCCACAGATAACAACAGCAAAAGAATACACACAACTCCTATAACAAGATTACCAGATGAATAAAAGTCAAGATCTGCTGATCCGCACTTCAAATCTATGTTCGATCTATTCAAAACCCAAGACTGTTAGGAAAACAAACTAAATCTAAATAACAGAATTGCAAAAAAAGCAACCACAACACCATTTAGGCATATGCTGCTCACAGATCTAGATATGCAAGAAACTTCATTTTCCTAATAAGATTTCTTAAATCTTACTTCAGATCAAATCAAATATTTCCAGAACCAAAGTTGCTTTCTTTTCCCAAGCAGCCAAATATTTCAAGAACACAACCTCCAAGAAGAACAACAAACACGATTCCCTTTTGATATTTGCTCATCTTTCATTGCAAATCAGCAGAGAACTAAAAATACCCAGATAAAAAAAAAAAAAAGGAAAGGAAGACAACGAAATAGAAAACGTGAGACCTTTCTTGACCAGCAGTGTCCCAAATCTGAGCCTTGATGACCTTGCCATCAACATTCAAGCTACGAGTAGCAAACTCAACGCCAATAGTGGATTTGGACTCAAGGCTAAATTCGTTCCTGGTGAACCTTGAGAGCAGATTTGACTTTCCCACTCCTGAATCACCGATCAACACCACCTTGAAAAGGTAGTCATAGTCATCCTCTGCTCCGTAAACAGTCATCCTTCACTCTTCTCAAAACCACCGCTGTTGCACTCCTCTACTTTCCCTTTTTCTTTGCGTCTAGTAAATATGAGAAAAGGACGTGTGTGAAACAGGGTGGCCGCAAGTTTATCAGGCTTGCTCTTTTAAAATCTCTCTCTAGAAAATTTTTTTCCTTGTGTTTCTTTTACCATTTCATTTTGATGAGTTGGGAATGCAAAAGGCCGCTGTCTGCTCGGTTGGACTCCACAGTGGAAATTAGAGGAAGTGGGGACATGTCCTTACTGAAAGTTGGGGGCAGAATCTATGGCTTTGGCCCTTTTGGTTTTCTTCAGAAACTTGAAATGACTTCATTGCCTTCAAAGTTTTCCTCTTTATGCTGTCTTTTAGTTGTTAGAAAATGAGGGTGTTTTGTCAATTTAAATGAATGTCGAACAGTCTTCTGAAGTGGTTTGAAGATGGTAATTTAATTATAGACACTGTTTGTTGTTTTTGGATCCTTTTATTGTTTAGAGAAAGTGAACCTTCAAATTGAAGTCTCCAAATGACTTCAATGTAGGGGTTGAGATCTTTGATGTGTTTTGATTTGAGGTATAAATGGGGCTGGTGACATGATTTCTGTTGTTAGAAAACTGCTCGTTGTACTTTTTTTTTTTTTGGAGTGTTTATGTTGTTGATTTTGTTATTAAAGCTTCTTTGCTTCACGAAAAATAATTTTTATATTTTTAGATATTTATTTGATAAAAAATTAATTGATCAATAAAAAATAATTTTTTAATCAATGAAAAATGACATTATGTTTTAAAAAATTATTTTACAAATTTAACAAGAAAAAGACTTTTCTAAAAAAAATTATTTATTAGTAGAATTATTTATCAATATTTTTAAACATAATTTTACTTATAAATAATATTATAATATATTCATAAATAATATTATGTTAATAAATAATAAAATAATTATATTATTAATTTAATTAATAAATATTATAATAATATATTAATACATAATATAAAGAATAATAAATAGTTTTATTTTAATTATTTTTTATATTAACATAATATTTTAATATTAAATATTATTATTAAAATATAATTATTTTTTAATATTAATAATTTTAATAATAAATAATTTCAGTATATTTTAATAATAAACAATTTTTAATATTTTAATAGTTATATTAATATTATTTGAAAAAAAAAACAAATTTTTTAGAAAATAACAAAACAACAAAAAATATTTTTCATTAATTCATTTAAATAACAAAAACTTTTTTTTAAAAATAATTTTTTGAAAGTCATTTTTTGTGAAACAAACGAAACTTAAAAAAAATAAAAAAGCATGTAAAATTATTTGTCTTTTTCATATTATTTAAACTAATAAAATTTGATTTGAAAATCAGATAAGACTGAAGAGGAGAAAAAATGAGTTTGAGTGTCAAATACACTCTTTAGAAGGGAAATCAACTACTAGTGATTAATCTTATACCTAAAATGTAAGAATGGTGAGTAGTTTTATACCAAAAAGCCTTGTGAAAGTGCACAGCTTTCGTTGGGAATAATTAGAGGAGAAAATGAGAGGTAATGCTTCGTGGGTTATCTCATATCTGATTTTGTTAGACTTGAGCCTTCATGGGCTGTTCTACAAATAAGCGTCATCATATTCAATGTTGGAGCAACTGTGAATTCCAAGTACGTTTCATCCTTTCTTTTTCATTTACTCCAATTGTTTGTCATCATAAAAAGGGTAGGATATGACTGAATACTTGGCAATTGGCATCACATTTGGTCAAAGACCAAAAGTTGTTCATATTGGAGGAATAAATTTAGTCTGAATCCAGCTTCTATCTTAGATTTTGTAATATAAAGGCATGTGAAACTGAATAAAATATGACAGCCACAAGAATATTCAAGTAGTTTTATCAAAATCGAGATGATAAATTTCAAATTCAAATGTTCAAACACTTCAGAATTTTCCTGCCACTGCTGGAAATATCTTGCTATTAGTCGGTTATAAGGCCTGGCATTGTAGTATAAACTAATTTTGAGTTTCGACCTAGCTCATGGCCCCTCTTGATCCCTAAACTCAGGGCTTTACTCAGGCCTCCAGACCATTACTTTCACTTGGGCCAGTGGGCCTACACAACAACTCAAACTCCAACTTGCATAATTGCTACAAGTTGGTTATGAAGCTGAAGTGGACTGTTAATTTGGATAACATATTTATGTATTAAAATGCTAAAAGTTGTCTTACAGTGACGGGTTGACATAAAGGAGATAGAAAATGTCGGATTGCTGGTCATAATCAAGGTCAGTCCTACGTTTTCTTCAATATGATCACCTTGTTTCTAGAATTGGCCATAGTTATCATTGGTTTCATGACATATAGCTGGCCATTGTCCCAATCCTATATTGTTAAAACCCTTTCCTTGAACTGTAATCATGATTCTGAATTGGCCCATGATGCTTTTGGGTGCAATTGTGAAGGGATAAATTGCAAACAAAAATTTAAAAGCAAATTGTTTTAGAGGCTTTGATTCAAATTCGTTGTTTATTCAAAGACGAATTTGATGAAGTTCTGATAATCCTAGCATGGTTCGAAAGTGTGAGGCAGCTGAAGTATTCATTGTTCTCTTTGATCAACAGAAAGTGATCCTTCAGCCCATAGCATACAGGAAAATCAACGTGGTTGATATTTAGTTAATGATCTTCAAAGTCCAAGCTGAGGTTTTATTTTGGCTGTGTTCTCTGCCCCACAAAATTGAGGGAATAAGGCTTACTTGAAAAGATTTTCGACAAGTTCAGCATCCAATGAGTTGAAATTATTACCAACAGGAAACGTTGTCCAATATGGGAAGGCCAAAGTCCTACTGGTTTCCTGCTTTCCATTGCAGTCTCCACCAATATTATTGTTTATGGTAAAACCTGAACTTGATCTCTAGAATTTCAGAAGGTGAAAAAAATGGAAATCATAGACTGCAAACCACAAGTGGCAGCTCTTTATGGCACCAAAAGCTTGCATTCTAACAGCATACAAATTTTTTCATTTTTTTTCGTCTTTTGCATTCCAACAGTAGAATCTTCCAATGTCGAGCCTGCAGCACGATCAGAATTAATTATGTGTTCCCATGTGCCTCTTAATGATAGCTGTTAGTAGTAAATTCTTTTGGCAACAAAGTCAACATTGTTAAATTCTGCTTTTTAGTTTCCAGGGTGGCATTGATCCTATATCATATGGGAACGTGGATAATAACAGATCGTACTAGAGTCGGTGGTCTCTCCCATATTAGATGTTTTATAAAGGTAGCCAAAATTAACCGAAGGGACCTACTTGATTAAAAGCACATTTTCGAAAGGATCGATCTTGCTTACCAACCATGGATTTCCAAATGAACAAGAAAGGAGGCCCACAAAAGAGAATATATCCCTTCAGCCATATACCAAACAAAATTGCAGATATACAAAATAAGATTTCCACGGCTCAAATGATTGCTTAGCCGAAACTAGTGCAGTTTCCTCTAAACTTAGCTCCTGAAATTCAAACCCTAGAGATATAGAACCTTCAGTTTTGCCACCCGCGACCTCCCTATGATTGCATAAAGCCATACATGTCTTTATAAAGGTTCCCACTTTCCCCCCCAACTGTAGCCCTCTAAAAATGTTGTCTCCTTCTTCTCGGTACCTTCACCAATCCCAAGCTTATTATAATTATCATTATCTTGCGGTTGTCTTTTTGGAGGTTATTTTGTTCAGATGAGTTCTATTTTATCAATGTCAAACTCTGAAGTCTTTTCATCTCCACCTGCTGATTCGCCTGAGCCATCTCCTCTTAGGATTCAGGTGGTTTCTAAATCTGTATCCGACCGACTTCTTGAGAAGTTTTTTGATGTATCTGAATACAACTTTGATTATGAGAAGAGTGGACTTTGGTCTCCCCCGGTTCGAAGAAGTGCCTTTTTAAGCTCCCATGATAGAATTTTCACTGAACAAGAAATGCTTGAAAGGCTCAAAAGTGTAATCGACAGACGTCGTAGTGGAAGGCATAATATTGGTTGCAATGTATGGCTCTATACTTTTCCTGTCAAGAAGCGGAATTCAATTAAGTTCAGCTTCAATTCTAGTTCTGTTGAGGATTGCTGATGAATCCTTTGAACTTTTTTTGCAGGCATTTTGCTGCTCTTGAAGGAAATTTGGAACAGCGAAAACTTGCTTCCAGAAATGGGTACTGTCTTGGTGCAGTTTAACACAAATCAGAAACAGAGAAAAGAAAGTAAAAAGAGAAACCAAAAGCTGCACTTCCGTCTCCTTCCTTTGTGTAAATGTTATAGTTTTCTTGGACAAACATATAGTGAATAGTATGCATTTGCTTACTATATCATCTGCAATTCCTCCTTTTTCTTCTGGTAATTTTCATGGGAGTGTTTGTTTTCTTGGAAGTTAGTAAAATCCAACTTTCTCAGAGGATGCATAACTTCCAAGCTTGCAGCCCCAAAAGTTGAAAACCCCATTGCCATTTGAGCAGAGCTCCTGATTATTCATCCAACATCCAAAAATCACCTAACATTCTTTGTGGTAGGGTCTCAAGCTCAAAATTACTGTTGCATTAGATTATAATTGATATTGAATTAAATTAGATACTGATTTTTATTATACTCCATTCCTATTAATTTTTTGAGATGCATTACTACCCAGGCTGTCAGTTTTGGGCAAAGCAGAAATGTTATGATTTGTTATGATTTTTTTATGCAAAACCTCCATGCTTGATCACTAAAATATTAACATGATTTTTATAACTCAATTGGAATCAGGAAAGTACAGAAATTTAGAGTTTCAAACTTATAAAGACTAGATTAATGTTGAGCATCATCCTGCACTTTCTTATTATTAATTTTAAGCCTCAAATACATTCTTTAATGTTACATGACTATTATTGTTATAGTAGCATATAAGGGGAAAGAACTTTTGATTCAAGCAACAACCAACAACTCAGCAACAAATGGCAATTCCAGTTGTGCTTTTGCATGGAATTTAAGATTAAAATTAAAAATTAAAGTTGAATGTTTACAATGTACACTTCAAATAAAGCATGATCATCAGTGATTCTGTTTAATCCTGGGGAAGAGTAATTGTAATAATGAGGATAAAATTTGGAATGGAAAGTGTTAGGGGCATTTGATGGTCAAAAGAATATAGTGATTTTTTTTCTCTCAAAGTTTTTAATAAACAATCAGGGGTATCTTTGTCATTTATGCCTACCTAATATGTTAAGTCAACCTGACATAGTCAATGCCACATTAACTCGACCCTATCCTAATTGTCCCTTTATGATCCTCTTTAGTGTATTTATAAATATGAAGACTTATGCATTATGAAGGCAAGTTCATCCAATTCACTTTTTCTCTCTCTTTTCTACTTTTTTGCCTACATAATCTTTATTGACTTTTGCATCAAAGTACAAACGTAAAAAATACCTCATGTCTTTGCCTCTAACCATCCTTTTATTTTGCATTAATAGGAATACTCTTAGGTCGAAGCTCAGTATCAGCATTTGGCGTGCTAGGTAGGAGATCCCGTATTAGCTGAGTACAAAACAATGCTACCAAGAAAAAAAAACCCTAGAAGAAGGAGAGGTAGTCGCCCCGACTGAAACAGAAACTCACTTTAGCCAGCATTCTGTCCGCCTAGCTCAACCACAGGTGGGATCAACCATCAAATAATTTCAAGCCCTGACAGAACAAATATAAGCTTTTAAACAGATGCTGCAAACTATAACTCTACCATAAGTTTAAAAAATGCCAAACTTAATCACACTTGGTCAAGAAGTCTTTATCGGACAATCAACCTACGAAGAGATAGAGGTATAGAGAAGAAGAACACACAAACCCAACTCATCACTGCCACTGTCACAATTCCACACATGCCATAACCCAAAAATCCAAACAAACAAACCATAAATTTCAACCAAATATAGATTTGGAAGCTCAAATGCAAGCCATGAAAAAAGAGCTGAAAATGAAAATAGTGGCATTTAAGGATGAGTTTAAGTTTCTAGAGACTTCACCCGTTACTAAAGATATTAACAAAGCTATGCCTCTCAAAGGATTTAAAATGCCAACCTTGGATACATACGATGGTACTTCTGACCCTTTTAATCATTTAAAATTTTATAGAACCAACATGATGATCTAGAGGTAGATGGAGCTCTAATAAACAAAGGTTTAGCTACTACATTAAAAGGCACAGCTCGATCCTGGCAAAGCAACTTAGAGCAGAGATCAATCACTACATTCAAAAAGCCCAACCACTCGTTCTTGTCCAAATTTATGAGTAGTTGAAGAGCAAAAAAAATGACCCTAAGCTTGATGTCAATTCACCAAAAAAGGAATTAAACTTTGAAAAGCTATGCCACACGTTTTAACACGAAAACTCTATAGGTTAAAGACTTGGAACATATGACCACTATTGTCGCATTAACAAGTGGACTCAACAATAGAGTACTATTTAAAGTTGACATTATCATTAAAACATCCTAAAACTCTAGTCGACATCCTGCTAATAGTAGAGAAATGCATTAATGTTGAAACTATAATGAAAACTAATCGAGGTGAGAGAGATTTATCTCTCTTTCTCGACGGTTGAGGTGAAAGAGACCTATCCTCTTTTCTCGATTGTAAAAAAAGCAAGAAATTTTACGATCTTCCCTTAAAAGAGAGACGGCATGAAGCTAGAAGCTCTAGTGGAGAAAAAAGCTATATTGCATTGAATACCTCTCGTGAAAGGATTTTGATGCAAATTGAAAGAAATCATAACTTTAGATAGCCTAAGCCACTGAAACATAATATAATAAGGGATTCAATAAAAAAATGTTTTATAGGGATATTGGGCATAATACCGAAGATTGTCTTGACCTAAAAAATGAGAAAAAAACTTTGATAAGATGAGATCAGTTGAAAAGATTTATAGGATAGAAAATACAATACCAACTTAAAATGAACTACAGATAAGACCATAGAGTGCCCACCAAGGGCAGAGAGGAAAAAGCAAGGTAGGGAAAAAAGGATGCCCAAGGACAATAGCCAATCAAGAAAATGGTCGAGCTGACAATAGTAGGCCAATTACCAGGGTGATTAACGTGATCATAAGAGATAGCTCTACCTCGATGAAAGAGAAGTTTAACTCAAGCATAGTAATGATAGTAGGCACCTCAACCAAAAAAGAAAAAAACTACAAAGACGAGCTGATCTCATTTAGCTTAAAAGATCTGAAAGAAATCCAACACTCACACAACGATGCCATAGTGATCATAGTCTTCGTGTATAACTATGTGGTAAAAAAAAAATTATATTTGATAATGAGAGTTCGACCAATGTCATGTACTATGACTGTTTGAAAAAAATGAAGATTGGCAAAGATTAGTTAAAGTCGATCACCACCACATTAGTGAGGTTTGAGAATGAGCAGGTGCCCGTAAGAGGAACTATCAAGCTTTCAATCTCTTTAGAGATTGAACCGAAGATAATTACCTCGATCATAGAATTCATGATAGTGGATATCCCATCTCTACCTACAACATGATATTAGGCTGACCTAGCTAGTCTATTATGCGACTTATAAGCTCAGCTCCCTATTTGAAAGTGAAATTTTCAACATTTGGAGGGATTGAAGAAGTTCAGAGAAATCGATTCATGGCACCGCAATGTTACATCACTATAATGAAGGGTAAGACTTAAAAGCAGATAGGTAACTCGATCGATACTGAGGTCGAAAGCAAAGAAAAGCCAACACAGATAATTGACAAGAAGTAAAAAATCACTAACAAAAGCATAAAATGAAATAATCTCGACCCAATTGAACAAAAAGAGATAATTGATCAAAGATCAAACTCAATCGCAAACCAACTCGAACCAGCTGAAGACCTCATGACAATCTCATTTTGGAACAACATTCCTAAAAAATACATGCAAAATAGAGCTAAGCTTTAACATAAAGACCAATTGATTTAACTCATAAAAGATAATGCCAACTTGTTTGCTTAAATACTATTTAATATGCTCAAAATTGATACTGAAGTGATGGTCCACAAATTACACACTAATCTCAAGGTAAAACCAGTTCAACAAAAAAAAATTTTACTTAGAAAGACAATAAGCCATTAAGGAAAAAAGTTGATAAATTATTACAAGCTGACTTTATCAAAGAGGTATACTATCCTAAGTGAATAGCTAATGTGGTCATGGTAAAAAAACATAGCAAAAAATAAAAAATGTGTGGACTTTACCAACCTAAATAAAACTTACTCGAAATATAACTTCTCTCTTTAGCATTGATCGACTAATAGATGATAATGCCAAGCATGACCTTCTCAACTTCATGACTACTTGTTTTAACTATAATTAGATCAAAATATTAAAAGAATATAAGGATAACATGGCCTATATTATTGAGAAAAGCCTTTACTGTTACAAAATTATGCCCTTTAGATTAAAGAATGTAGGGGCAATCTACCAAAATTGGTGAACAAAGTGTTTAAAAATCAGATCGACCATAATATGAAGGTATATGTGGATGACATGATAGTCAAGAGTAAGAGTTTGATCGAGCATATAGAGAACCTAAGAGAACCCTTTAACACTTTGAGAAAGTATAATATGAGACTTAATCCGAGCAGATGCACTTTTAAGGTTACATCAGGCAAGTTTCTTGGTTACATGATCAACTAAAAGGGAATAGAAGCAACCCCAAAAAAGTTTAGGTGATCCTAGAAATGAAGGCATCGACCTTGATAAAAAAAGTATAAAAGTTAACCGACATAATAGTCATGCTCAATCAATTCATGTCTAGATCGACTGAATGATGTCTATCATTTTTCAAAATTTTTAAGAATGTCTTTGACTTCAGGTGGACTCCTCAATGCCAAAAAGCTTTTGATGAACTTAAAGAGTTTTATCCTCCATGTCTATCCTATCTAAATCGAGAATTGATGAAATACTATACATATACTTAACCAATATAGATCAGATGTCAACTTGGTCTTAGTCTGAGAAAAAAAATAATGATTGATCTATTTTGTAAGTAAACTATTGACAGGGCCTGAGTTAACTATAGCGAGATAGAAAAATTAGGCTACGTCATTGTCACTTCAGCCAAAAAATTCAAGCCATACTTTCAAGCCCACATGATTCACGTCCTGACCAATAAGTCACTGAGGCTAGTTTTACAGAAGCTTGAAATGTCGAGAAGGCTAATCAAATGGGTAGTAGAGCTCAGTTAATTCAACCTACACATTTTACTCATATTGGCATCAAAATCATAGGTGCTGACAGACTTCATCATAAAGTGCACTTTAGTATAACTAAAAAATAGTCTGAGAAAAAATAAAAAACCCTAAATAAGGATGATTGAAAGCTTTATGTCAACAAATCAGCTGTAAGCTAGGACAGAAGAGTCAGCCTCATTTTGATCAATTTGAAAGGGCTACAGTACCTATATGCTTTGAAATTTAAGTTTAGGACATTTAATAATGAAGCAAAATATAAGGCATTAATGGTTGGCCTAAGGTTACAATTGAGCTAAATGTTCAACATATAATCACTTATAGCGACTCCTAATATGTAGTTAGTCA